GTGTCTGGCCACAGGTTATTTTTGTGCCCTAATACTCTCAATATGTTAGCTAAACAGCTACCATATAATCATGAACCAACACAAGAAGGCCAGTAACATCATGACTTCTAGAGCTCAGGGCCTGCAAGGAGGTAGGACACAAGGTTCTATCTACCCAGGCTAACCAAGGTTGCAGGTTTTGAGCCCCAGATGAGCCTCTTAGATTTTTTTTTATGGGTGCTGAGGATCGAATTGACAAGCTCCGGGATCCCTAACTATCGCCCAATGCTGAGTCCCTATCCCTCACTCGGGACAAGCCCTGTTTCCAGACGCTGCCACAGCTCTGGCCACAGTCTATCCCTGTGCAGGAGATGCATTCTAGGTCCCAGGGGGGCCAGGCTAGACAGTGGCTGTACAGAGTTTCCATTCTACTGCCCCTGGGTCAAGAGCCCCTGGCTCAAGACTGCAATCCTTTTGCTGAAGGTGAGCCGCCCAGAGCTTGGCGGGGTCCAAGAGGTGTCTTGAGGGACTATTGGAAGTGTGCCTGAGCCAGCCCCACCCCTGTGCATTAGCGCAGCAGGTCCTCTCTTCGAATCCACCACCACGTCGAGGGAGCGCTGGGCCCACTGGTGGTGGGAGTTCTCTTGGTCCCTCCCGCATCTCCCTGGCCAACCTTTCTCGGCTTGCGCCTTCCAAAGAGAGATCCCAGATCCCCGAGGCCTGAGCTTCAACCTCGACCCCAAGGCATGGGCCCAGGGCGCCTCTGCAGCGCCACCTGCAGGCGGGACGCGCGCTAAGCGGAGTCTGGGGTCCAGGGGTCCAGGAGGAGTCCGGGAGGGAGGAGGAGAAGGAAGAGATCAGCTTTCCTGCCCGGAGCCTTCCCAGCTCATGTGTAGCCTCCCTTCGCCGCCCCAGCCCCAGGCGTCCTGGCCAGCCCGGAGCCTGTTCCGCGCCCGCCTAGAGCAGGCAGCCGGCGGCTCCGACCTTGCACTCTTGCTGCTATGCTCCCAGAAGCCTTCTGCCCCGGGAGCCTCTTCTGGGCAAGCCATGAAGTCACACTAAAGCCAATCAGCTTACTTAAGAGAATCCTCCCCCGTCTCCGGCACACCCCTTGAAACTTCTCCTCAATCCCTTCTTTCCTACTCTCACCCCTCTTCTTTCCTCCTATCCCGTCGTGCAAGCAAGGGCGGCTCCGGGCTCCTGGGGAAAGACTCAGTGTGGCAGCTGGGAGGGAAAGTGGAGGGCCAGAGTCCTCATGGAGACCTTGGAGTTTCTGTCCCAGCCAGGCCTCTCTGCACTGTTCTGGGATGCACAAGGAAT